CAGAGATGTCCATCGCGACACTGCCGCAGTAGCGGTTAGCGGCGTGGCAGCAGCAAGATTTTTTGAAAAAGCATCGCGGCGCGGCGGCGGCACCTTAATTCTGGAAGACATTGCAAAAACTGCATGAATTTGCACTAAAATTGAATGTCCACAGACGCAACACTCTAAGACTCACTGAATCTCATCGATTAGTGACAAGAATTGTATTTCAATACATTCACAGCAATGAAATTCGAAACTATTTTTCGAGTACCATCGCGACAGCGGCACCCTTTTTGGAAATTCGTCGCGGCGCGGCAGCGGTAGATTTCGAGCCGCGATGGATAACTCTGATATACATTAACAGTCCTCGTCGATTGTATTTTTCAAAATTAGTTTTCATACTTTTGTTAAGAATCTTACAATCTAATCGAATCATGCTTTGAATTGAAGTATGAAAAGTCATACTAGATAATCGTATAGCTAACCTTAAAATTCGTACTCGGCAATCTTCAAATGTTTGTTTAAATTCAAATTTTGATATAGGTATTGTAACATGAGCTTGACAATGATCACATTTAATTTGATCAATATGACGTCTTGAAAATAAATTTTCTTTAATTAAATCTTCTTTTTTATCATTAAATGGTGATTGTATATCAATAGCTTTTTGTACAAAAAGCCAATCAGCTGTAGCTAATATAGGATTCTTTTTTAAATATCGAATCATTTCATTTTGTTTGATTTTTAATTCTTTTATTATTTGAATCATTGTTTGTTTTATTAATTCAGATGTTTGATCTAATCGTAATATACGCACTATATTTGGTATAGTTAAAGCATTAACTAAAATAGTGAAAAAAAAACAAAAATAAGTATTTTAATTCATAATAGAATTAAGATGACTACCACCTCTCCCCCCCCCCTTTCATAAGTTCCTCGGANATAAATCATAACCATATTCAGACCAATCCATTATATAATTCCATGGTATTAGAAAATAACGTTGAAAATATTTATTATGATATATATCTTGTGTTAATTTTAATGGACGAATTGAATAACGACTCCCCCCCCCCCCCCCCCCCCCCCTTTCATAAGTTCCTCGGAAATGGTTTGATAAAAAAAATCATGTAACTTTCAATGCACATGATAGACCTCAATAAGGTAGAGAAAAATAGAAAACAAAAAAACTTTGGATCAAGAAAGGAAGTTAGTCCTTATCTTCTTTACCTGTACATGTAAGAAAAACAATAGCTGTTGTATGAATAAGCATTATTTCTGCTTGATATTGATCTTTAATTTTACTATTAAAAAGTGTTAATGCAAGAACAAGACTTACACCACCACGTAAACCAGACCAAATTGTAACAATAGAATCTTTCCATGTAAAACCATATGCAATATGTTTTAATATAAAATGTATACAAAGTATCATTATAGCACGAACAAGTATTAATATAATATAAATTAATAATAATTGAGGAATTGAACTAAGTAATGATAACATTTTATGACTTTCACTATATGTTTTAAGTAAAATAACACCAACAGTTATAAATATAAGTGAATTAGCTATATAAGCAAGTAATTCCCATGTTTGTTTCGATATATTAATAGCTGAAACACTAAAACATGAACGATTCATATTTAATGTTAAACCAAGTAGTACAACACCAATAACACCTGATGCTTCAATAGCTTCACATGTTAAATAAACAAAATAAGACATTGTAATTGTTATACATGTTTCGAATTCACCAGCTTCCATACGATATAAAGCAAATATTGTTATATGAGCCATTACATAACCTAAATTGAGTCAATATATGAAAATGAAGAATAAGCCATTTTTATTTCATTTTTACCGATTACAACAGCTGTTGCAATAGTTTTTAATACAAATTTAAGAAGATAAATAGTAGTTATTTTACGTTTTATAAGAAATCGTATAGCATTAGCACATCGTTCAGCATTGATACCTAAAAGAGTAGCTCGAGTTTGTTGTAAAAGATTTTTATCAGATTTAAATGCTTCATAAATTAAATTTTTTACTAATGTATATATAGTTATAGCTGCTGCATCATTAAGTAACTAGAATTTAATTATTAAATTTTTTTATAGACTTGAAATAAATATAATTAACTTACAGATTCACCTTCAATTATAGTTGATAAAGTTTTTAATGATGTCATTGATTTAAGTAAACTAACAACAGAAACAGGATCAGTTGCTGAAACAACTGCTGAATATAAAACAGCTTGATCCCATGTCCAACATGTTTGTACATCAGTTGTATATTCATTTTCATACCAATACATAACAGCTAATGTAGTAAGTGCCACAGAGAGAAAGAAACCTGTTTTCAATTGAGAAAAAAAAATCGAGATTAAATCTCCAAAAATTAGTTTTCTGGCGTTCATTTGAAGCTTTTTGGAAATAGTTCTATTTGAAAAAGCAAAATGAGAAGTCTTGACTCTCTTTATAATGTTCCTTTATCGAACTGCATTCAATTTACGGAAAACCCAAGAAGCAGTTTTCATGAAAATTTTCACTGATTTTGTTGTGTTTGATGCTTTGAAACTCTCTCTCTAAATTGAATGCAGTTCGATGAAGAAATGTCATAGAGAGAGTTGAGACATCTCATTTTGTTCTAGCAAATAAACCTATTTTTAAAGTATGACTTGATTGAAAGATATTCAATCATTATTTGATGTGCTGTTGTTCATAGAATGAGATGTACGGTTGTAAGAACACAAACATTCGATGGTGACTAATCTTCACAAAAAATATTAAACTTTGTCAATATTTTCTTTTGTAACATATTAAAGATTTTCATCACCTTATCAATTTACTACTGTGTTAGTTTCACAAAAGAGTTGAATAGTATTTTTAGTACTGTCTACGTCTGACATTTACTTATGGAAATCGACTTGTATTTTTAGATTCACAACAATACTTAAAATTATGGGCATTCTAGCAGTTTTTTCATGGCAGACTTTTGAAACATTCTATATTTGCTATTTAACGGTATTTTGCCTCTCTTTCGATCATTTTTAGTTCTCGAAGAAAGTGCAAACACAGATAGAGCATCTAAAATAAAGAAACAAGTCTTCAAGAAAAAAGCTTTCAAACAAGTTTTTCATGATTTTTTTCTAAAAAACTAAGGTTTTCTATAGAACGACAATGGGCTGACTTAGGACTCTCTTCTCTCTAACTTCATCCGATTGAACTGAAAATTTTCTTCAAAATACCATAGATCGTATCTCAGAGATGATTTTAAGCACTTTCAAAAATCTCTTCTACTTCTTATATTAGAGAAATATGTAAACATTCAGATGCGAACATCGGAGCGTCGATGTTCAGCATTCTATAAATCCGGATAGAAAGATGAGAAACGAAAATACTTCCAAGTATCTGTAATAAAGACTTCCGACTGATCGGTTGCACCTTCGAGAATCCGAAATTGTTGAAAAAGAGGAAGAATATCTTTAAAAAAAAAAATTTATAATATTATCTATATAAATCCCTTCAGAATTTACTCAAAACATAGTAAATTATTAGTTTTAATCATATAATTTTGTCAACAGAAACAATGAAATATTCAAGTTAGATAGATTAATATTAAATTTTCCGAATATAAAAAACATATAATTATCGAAAAGTCTTTTTTTTTTGTGCTATTACAAAAATATCTACCTAATATAGCTAATGTAAGAATTTGTCCGAGACATTTGATAAAAATATGTGGATCACATGAAAATGCACTTTCAAATATTAATATAGGTAAAAATATGGAAAGAATTTGAACAGGTGTTAAATCAGCAATAAATGTAAATCGTTTGATAAGTTCATATTGATAAAAACCACCAAGAACAGCACCAACAAGCATTAATATAACTGTATATGGAAGTGAAATATGATAATGTCTTAAAAAAAAAAAAAAATAAAAAAAAAAAATTTTTGAGTTAATAAAACATAATACCTGAGCAATTTTCGAAGAATAGTAGCAAAGAAAAGTACAATAAACGGATAGATAAATTCAGGTCCAAGTCCTCGTTGTTTTGTCTTAGATAATTCATCACATGGTGATTTGTATATATTTTTTTGTTCAATTAAATTTGTCATTTAATCAGTCGATGAAATTTTTCTATCATGTGTTCAACACTTATCGGCGCCGTTTTATCAGTTGAAACAATTATCTATTGATTAAGAAAATTATATCATTTTCTCAAACAAATATCAATAGTTGCATTTGATTTCTAAACATTTATCCAAGAAATTAATTATATTCTAACTATCTAATTATTATTTAATTTATTTTTACAACGAAAAGAAAACAAAATGATATTTCGCTTTACATAAAATGAGTTTTGACAAAAAAAAAAAAAAAAAAGAAATTTTTTTTTTTACACATTAATCGATTCAAATCGT